CTGCCCAAATTCATTAGCGGTAGATGCAGTACATCATAAGGGCAAACAGAACCAATACAACACAACCCCCTATGACAAGGATTGGAAGAGAATAGAAATCTTCATCAGAAAATTATACTTATCTGTTTCCTTGCAGTTCCATATCATGAATTATCCCATCATACTGGCAAAATATATTTACAACTTATTTGAGAAAATGAGACCTTTTATTGATCAGTTGCCAAATGACAGCAAGGAGTTATACAAAGCAAGCATATCACAAGGATCGCTCATAGCAAAGAGAGCTCTACAGGTATCTCTTGCCTTTGTCGACACCTCTCCTAGATCCTTAGCATCTGCAGTCATGCTATGTTGAACATCTTGACTCCATCGCTCTGGTTTTCTTTAGGAAGTATGAGTAGTGGAATATCTACCTTTTTGAAGGTTAAAAACTTTTTTGCAGAAAATACCAATACCTCCCTACATACCATAAAAGATTCCAGGGCAATGCTCAAGATGCTAGGCATGTAACATTCCCCAGCCCAGGAAAAAACAGGGTTGTTATAGTAAACAATTCTGCCTATCACCTTAAAATCAATAACAACAAGCCTGACTAGAGATGCAGGCAGAAAAAGCTTTGAAGGAGACAAAATCAAGAATAACCTCTACCTTCTCAACCCTCTACATCTAGCTAGTCCTTTTGAGATCTTGGCCAAGGGTTTCACAAACCCCATTCAACAGGATTGCCCACTTCCCCATCATCATTTTGCGTTCTGCCTCCTTTCATACCATCTGGCTTGGGAGCAAATTACAGAGGACAAATGAGTGCTGGAAATAATATCACAGTGTTACTCCATTCCCTTTCTGTCTGCCCCGCCTACACAACCCCTTTCCCTATCCTTCTTCAGTGACCCTCTCCCATGAGATCCTTTTGCAACAAGAGATACAGCACTTGCTTCAAGTAGGAGTGATAGAACACATCCCTGCTCAATGCAGGAGAACAGGGTTTTAACTCCAGATCCTTTCTGACCCCCCACATCTCCAAAAAAGACTGAGGGATGCAGGCATATCTTGGACTTAGGTAGTTTAAACAAGTTCCTAGAGAAACAACGTTTCAGAATGGTTATGTTGGCAAACATAATTCCAGTACTACAGAAAGGGGACTGGCTGTCATCCTTCTTAAAAACGTAAGAACATACGAATGGTCATACTGGGTCAGACCAAAGGTCCATCTAGCCTACTATCCCGACAGTGGCCAATGTTAAATGCCCCAGAGCGAGTGAAAAGAACAGTTAATCATCAAGTGATCCCTCTCCTGTCATCCATTTCCAACCACTGACAAATAGAAGCCTGGAACACTGCTTTTCCCCTCTGCCCCCCCACCAATCCTGGCTAATAGCCACTGATGGACCTAACCTCCATGAATGTATCTAGCTCTCTTTTGAACCTGTTAATGTCCTGGACTTTACAACATCCTCTGCCAAGGAGTTTCATAGGTTGACTGTGCACTGTGTGAAATAAAACCTTCCTTTTGTTTTTTTTAAACCTGCTACTTATTAATTTCATTTGGTGACCCATAGTTATTATGTTATGGGAACAAGTAAATAACTTTTCCTTATTCATCTGCAAATTTGACACCATCAGTTTAGGATTAAACAAAGACTGTGAATGGCTAGCCAACTACAAAAGCAGTTTCTCCTCTCTTGGCGTTCACACCTCCAGATCAGCTGCTAGAAGTGGGCCTCCCCTTCCCTGACTGAATCTACCAAGTTATCTCTAGCCTTATTCTGGCCTGCATATTTATACCTGCCTCTGGAAATTTCCACTACGTGCATCTGACGAAGTGGGTCTTTGCCCACGAAAGCTTATGCTCCAATACATCTGTTAGTCTATAAGGTGCCACAGGACTCCTTGTCTCTTTTGCATATCCAGACTAACACGGCTACCCCTCTGATACTTTTCCTTATTCACTTTCTCCATAACTGTCATGATTTTATAGACCTCTATCATCTTAGTCTCTTCTTTTCTAAACTGAAAAGTCCCAATCGTTTTAATCTCTCATTATATGGGACCAAACCCCTAATCATTTTTGTTGCCCTTTTCTGAGTCTTTTCCAATGCCAATACTACAGGCAGTCCCCGGATTACGTACAAGATAGGGATTGTAGGTTTGTTCTTAAGTTGAATTTGTATGTAAGTCGGAACTGGTACATATTGTAGGGGAAACTCTAGCCAAACATTTCTCCAGAGCTCAGTTTTATTCTCCCACACCTCACTTCCCTCAGTCCTTTATTCTCAAGCTGAGGTGTCTGCTGAGAAAAGCCACTCCGCGTCTCCCTGGTCTGCTGGGGGGGCACTAGCTTCGCGTCTCCCTGGTCTGCTGGGGGGAAGCAGCTAGTGCGGGGTTGCCTCACCCCGTTTGTAAGTAGGGATCCGATGTAAGTTGTATCCATGTAACCCAGGGACTGCCTGTATATCTTTCTTGAGATAAGGTGACCACATCTGTATGCAATATTCAAGATCTGAGCATACCATGGATTTATATAGAGGCAAGAAGATATTTTCTGTCTTATTCTCTATCCCTTTGTTAATGATTCCTAACATTCTGTTTTCTTTTTTGACTGCTGCTGCACAGAGAACTATCCACAATGACTCCAACATCTCTCTCTCTCATGGTACTAGCTAAATTAGTCCCCATCATTTTATATGTATAGTTGGGATTATTTTTTTACAATGTGCATTACTTTGCATTTATCAACATTAAAATTTATTTGCCATTTTGTTGCCCAGTCACCTAGTTTTGTGAGCTTCTTTTGAAGCTTTTCACAGTCTGCTTTTTTCTTAACTGTCTTGAGCAGATAGTATTTGCAGATTTTGCCACCTCCCTGTTTAAGAACATAAGAATGGCCATACTGGGTCAGGCCAACAGTCTAGCCCAGTATTTTGTCTATCAACAGTGGCCATTACCACATGCCCCAGAGGGAGGGAACACAACAGGTAATCCTCACATGATCCTTTTCCTGTCATCCATATCCAGACAAACAGAGGCTAGGGACACCATTTCTACCCATCCTGGCTAATAGCCATTGATGGACCTAATCTCCATGAATCTACCTAGCTCTTTTTTGAATCCTGTTAAAGTTCTAGCCTTCACCACATCCTCTGCCAAGGAGTTCCAAAGGCTGACTGTGTGCTGAGTGAAGAAAAACTTCCTTTTACCCCTTTCTCCAGATCATTTATAAAAATCTTGAATAGAATTGGTCCCAGTACAGACCCTTGGGGGGACACTTCTTATTACGTCTCCCTAGTCTGAAAACTGATAATTTATTCCTACCCTTAGTTTTCTGTCTTTTAACCAGTTATTCATCCATGAGAGGACCTTCACTCTTATCCCATGACAACTTACTTTACTTGAGTCTTTGGTGAGGGACCTTGTAAAAGGCTTTCTGGAAATCTTAGTATACTATATCCACTGGATCCTCCTTGTCTACATGCTTGCTGATCCCTCTCAAATAACTCTAGTAGATTAGCGAGTTATGATTTCCCTTTACAGAAACCATGTTGACTTTTCCCCCAACAAATGATGTTCATCTGTGTGTCTGACAATTCTGTTCTATACCATAGTTTCAACTAATTTGCCTGATACTGACATTAGATTTACCAGTTTGTAATTGTCGGCATCACCTCTAGAACCCTTTTACAATATTGACAGCACATTAGCTATCTTCCAGTCATTAGGTACAGAAGATGATTTAAAGGATAGGTTACAAATTGTTCCACAGTTTCTCATTTGAGTTCTTTCAGAACTCTTGGGTGACTGCCATCTGGTCCCGGTGACTTGTTACTGTTTATCAATTTGTTCCAAAAGCTCGTCTAAGAACACCTCAATTTGGGACAATTCCTCAGATCTGTCACCTAAAAAGAATGGCTCAAGTTGGGAATCTCCCTAACATCCTCAGCCATGAAGACCAAAGCAAAGAATTTATTTAGTTTCTCTGCAATGATCTTACTATCTCTGGGTATGTCTACACTACCACCCTAGTTCAAGGTGTACCGGTAGTTCGGATTAGAGAGTCTAATCCGAACTACCTACTCCGTGCTGCGTGTAGCCGCGGGCACGGAGTCCGAACTACCGGGGATTTAAAAATGGCGGCGCCCGGCAAGATGCAAATGAAGTCCGGGATATTTAAATCCCGGGCTTCATTTGCAACTTCGGTTGCCTACATTAACCACCCTAGTTCGAACTAGGGTGGTAGTGTAGACATACCCTTTGAGTGCTCCTTTAGCATCTCAATTGTCCAGTAGCCCCACTGGTTATTTAGCAGACTTCCTGCTTCTGGAGAACTCAAAAAACATTTTGCTATTACATTTTGAGTTTTTGGCTAGCTGTTCTTCAAACACCTTTTTGGCTTTTCTATTATATTTTTTCACTTAATTTGACAGAGTTTATGCTTCTTTCTATTTTCCTCACTATGATTTAATTTTCACTTTTTAAACAATACCTTTTTATTTCTCACTGCTTCTTTTACTTGGCTGTTAAACACAGTTGCACTCTTTTGGTTCTTTTACTGTGTTTTTTAATTTGGGGTATACATTTAAGTCTTAAGGCTTCAATTATGGTGTCCTTGAAAAGTTTCCTTGCAGCTTGCAGGGATTTTACTTTTGTCACTGTACCTTTTAATTTCTGTTTAACTAGCCTCCAGAGTTGATAGCTACTTCACAGAACATCATCTCACATCAGCATGCTCAAACTCCGTGCCATCAGACATGCTTGCAAGTACTTTCTCCCGCTTATCTACAACAGATCGATCAAGATATTTACAGACAACACAGCATGTATGTTAAACATAAATCACCAGAAAGGAGCACAATCATAACACCTGTGTGTAGAAGATTATACTTCTACATCTCAAGGCATGCTTGCTGAAGGGTTCGCTCCAAAGACGTAAAACAAGTAATCCTTAACAATTGTAAACCTAGTACAAGATCTACATAGTCAGAAAAATGGCATTGCTTTCTCACCTGGGCAGAATCCATGTCTCCACATTCGTCAGCATTCTATAACATCTGTTAACCAAAAAACTTTGTTAACCGGCATTTCCCTCGGCCACAATACTGTCACATCTTCAGGTGCAAAGGCCTGGCTTGGTTTACCGTGATTGGCTTAACAATTTTTTATTTAAGAAGTACTAATCATCTTTAACTCAAAATAGAAATGTGAGACCAACTGCCTTACACTACAAAACTACCGATACTAAAAACCTACGTTTTACTACTATTGTCCATTGGTTTTTCCTAGGTTGATGGGACCCTCAGATAACCAGAATTTTTAGATAACCAGAACGCCCTAATCCTGAGTGTGCCAGATAACACAGATTTCATGGTATATACTATCCCTAAAGAAACAGGGCCTTGCTAACACTTCAGTTAAAGTATACCTAGCAGCAATCTGATGTGAACATAATGGGATAGATGGCCACACTGTCTTCGCACACCGAAGAATAATTTCTGAAGTGACTGAATGTTTTCCTTCCCATAAAACAACCAGCACTGTTATGAGATATCAACCTTGTCCTCAGAATCCTCACAAAAGAACCCATGGCCATCTACTATTACTGCACCTATAAATGAAGGTTGCCCTGGCTGCCTCTACAGCATTCCTGAACAACGTACCATTCCCAGACACATGGACTTCAACACACACATTTACTAAACCATAAATATGGTTACACCATAAATATGCCTCACAGGACACACAATTCAGCATGGCTGAAATCTCTAATGTACATGGATAACCTCTGAAGCCCCTCCTTCCAATTGCATAAGGTAGTGTTCTGTAGCCACCTACAGTGGAACCCCCCATGGGGACATTCCTCAAAGAAGAGAATGGCACCACCTTTACTGCTGCTGTAAATCTCCAGTTATTTACACAGGGCACCAAAATACATATAGTGGAGCACCCATAGGGATCTTAAAGAACGTTAGTTACTGCACAGATGAGTAATAATCTCTTAACTTGACCAGATAACTCTTGAGAAAACTATACTGGGTTATCTTCACTAAGGGTATGTTCACACTGTGGGCTAAAGTCGAGTTAAGATACACAACTTCAGCTAAGTTAACTGCTTAGCTTTAGTCAAAGTAGCTTAACTCATTTTTTTGTGTGTGCTCTCTACACAGCAGGAAGTTGAAGAACACTCTTCCTTCAACTTCCCTTACTCCTCATGAAACGAGGGTTGCGGAAGTCAGAGTAAGAAACCAGTTATTTCAAAATTATTTTGAAATAATGGGCTTGCTGTATAGACACACTATTTCTAAATAACATGAGTTATTTTGAAATAAGCATGCAATATAGACGTAGCCTATGATTTACCCTAAGTTATCTAACTCAAGAACACTTCTTCCCCCCCACCCCACCCTTAGTTAAGACAAGAACTAAGTATGTGAGCATGCATTTCAGTGGTAACTTGCTAAACAGGTTACTTCCAGAAATCAAATATCTCTTTATTTTCAGAATAGTAATAGAGATGTAGTCGTGTTAGTCTGGTCTTGCTGAAACAAAAGACAGGACGATACAGCACTTTAAAGACTAACAAGCTCATCACCTAATAAACCATCTTGTAAGTCTTTAACGTGCTGCATAGTCCTGTCTTTTGTTTCTTTATTTTCAGAAGAACAACAAAGAGCAAATAGGATCACGGAGCTGGCAAAACATATTCTGGATCCAACATCCTCCTTAAATTAATATTTTGTATGTTAATAAGTTTCTGATGTATTTTAAATGAGATTGGTCATCAACAGGGGACTCCAATTACAGTGAAACTCCGCTTATGATAGAGAAGAGTAAATAGTCTTAAATTTCAATGCACTTTGAAATATTTTTTTCACTCCTTTTAACAAGTTTAACTTCAACAGTCGGTTCTGCTAGACCAATACATTTTTATTGATCTGTTATGTTAAATATCTTTATAGCAATGCACTTGACAAGATAATTTTTGGTGAAGCAACACTAATGAAATTTTACTTTAAAAAGGTGTTAAATGCCCCAAAATCTTCATAGACCTATGAGCAACACATTCTTTTGGAATGTTTAACATGTTATTTTCACATTTTTTGTGGCTAGATCAATAACATGTTTAAAAATATCTTTCTTAGTTCCCCTCTGCTCCTGATTCTTATTTTAATTATTCTGCTAATTATATCTGCAGCTATGCACCATTTTAAGGTGAGGGTAAATAGTTCTGGGCTCTTGACATTACACCAGAAAAAGGTGTGGTCCATCATTTCCTCTATTCTTTGGTTGTGTTTTTCCACCTTCCACTTTGTCACACTTCATCATGCATCTTAAGATAGAGACAGTGTTTGTTTCCATTCTCTTTCATATTTTTCAAACCGAAATGTATTGTTTGAAATTGGACTAGGATCGGAAGTGCTATAACTGAACTTTGTAAGTGGCCAGTTAACAATGTCTGGATTTGTTATCAACTTGCAATGCTATTGAAAGCATCAAGACGCAGATGACTGAAACAAAAAAAGAGAGAACTATACAGCACTTTAAAGACTAACAAGATGGTCTTTAAAGTGCTGCATAGTACTCTCTTTTGTTTTAGCAAGATCAGACTAACACGGCTACATCTCTGTTACTACGAAACAAAAAAAGTACTGGGAAAGACTTTCTGGTCAGTGTATCTGTGAAGTAACAAGGACATAAAGTCCATATTAGGGCAGAGCTATGATCCATCTAACCTAGTATCCTGTTTTCTGACAGTAGCCAATGCAATATACTTCAAAGGGATTTAACCAGCCCATTATCAGATGATCCATCCCTTACCATCCAGTTCTAGCATTTGGCAATCAAAGGCCTAGGGACACCCAGATCATCCCTGACCATCTTGGTTAATAGCTATTGATGGAACTATCCTCTAGGAATGTACCTTTTTTTAAATCCAGTTATAGTTTTGGCCTTCACAACATCCCCTGGCAAAGAGTTCCACAAGTTGATTATGCATTAAATGAAGTTCCTTCACTGTGATTGTTTTAAAACACATGCCTATTAATGTCACTTGGTGACTCCAGGTTCTTGTGCTAAAGTGAAGGGGTAAATAACTCTCCACAGCATTTATGATTTTATGAAAAGTTATCATTCTCCCATAGTTGTTTCCTTTCTAATAGCCTCAGTCTTTTAAATCTAATCTCTGCTCTGCACCTTTTCAAGTTTTGGGGTTTTTTTGAGATGGGAAGATCAGAAATGCACACAATATTCCAGGTAAGTACTCACCATGGATTTATACACTGTTACGATATTTTCTGTCTTTTCCATCCCTTTCCTAAAGGTTCGTAACATTGTAAACTATTGCTTCAAATTGAGCTGATACTTTCTGAGAACTAAACACGGCATCGGCCACCTCAAAGCACGAGATGTTAACTTTCAGCCAGTCACTGGGGCTCAGAGTATCTGGATGTGGTTTCCAACTCTTCCATAGATTTACTTTGTTAGCTGTGGGAAAATAATTTTATATCAAATTTTCAGAAGTAGCAACTGTATTTAGAGACCTTGTTCTCATTTTCAGAAGGCTGAGCACTCAAAACTCTGACTTAATTAGAAGGTAAGGTATTGAATTTCTGTACCTCTGAAAATAAGGCTAGGATGTCCAAGTTGAGTAGCTTAAAAAGGGTGAGGAGTCCTGTGACACCCCAAAGGTTAACAGATTTATTTGGGCATAAGCTTTTGTGGGAAAAACCACTTCATCAGATGTACCTAACAGTGGTTTTTACCTATGGACACTTATGCTCAAATAAATGTTAGGCCACATCTTCACTTCCCAGATTTACAGTACAGCAGTTGATCTTCTGGAGTTGTACTGCTTTTATGCCCGATCCGAAGTCCCTGCTTCCATAAATCCATATAGCTTTGTAGTCACCTGATGCAGAGCACCCACCGGGACATCTCTTGAAGAAGAGTAAATTAGTCACCTGTGTAATAATTGATGTTCTTTGAGATGAGTATCCCTCTGGGCACTCCACTACCCTCCCTTGTTCCCCTCTACTTCGGAGATCTGGCCTTGCTAGGGGGACTTTCTCCAGGGTGGAGGTGGGGTTCACACATGCCCTCCACCTGCACAGGAGTGTATGGCTAGAAGCACGCACATGCACAGCCCTAAGGACAGTTCTCTGAAAACTCTGATCCTCAGCGCGGCTGCAGTGGCACTCCAGCCTGATGTGGAGCACCCACAGGGACACTCATCTTGAAGAATGCCTGTTACTGCACGTGTGAGTAATCTCTTATGCCAACTTTCTGCTGTAGTGTGGACCTGGCTAGTGTAGACAGCTGGCAAGTTTTTCCGCAAAAGCAATTGCTTTTGCGGAAAAACTTGCCAGCTGTCTACACTAGCTGCTTTAATTTCCACAAGAACGCTGACGATCTCATGTAAGATTGTCAGTGTTCTTGCGTAAATACTATGCTGCTCACGTTTGGGCAAAAGCCCTCTTGTGCAAATGCTTTTGCACAAGAGGGCCAGTGTAGACAACGTGGTATTGTTTTGCGCAAAAAAGCCCCGATCGTGAAAATGGTGATTGGGGCTTTCTTGCGCAAAACCGTGTCTAGATTGGCACGGACGCTTTTCCGCAAAAAGTGCTTTTGTGGAAAAGCATCTGTGCCAATCTAGACGCTCTTTTCGCAAGTGCTTTTAACGGAAATCATGCCAGTGTAGACGTAGCCCTTGTTTTTAGAGAAACAGACTAACAGAGCAACCCCTCTGAGACAAAAAAAAAAGACAAAAAAATTCTAACAGTGGCCACTTTTTTTAAAAAAAGCTCTCAATCTGTATTTTAGACCCAGGCCAAAATAAAATAAAATAATTTACTTAAAAAAAATCTATTTCAGGTTGACAAACTTCTCAAAATTGTCAAATAGTTTGGAATGAATTGACTTTGTTTTTAAATGGTTTGACATGTAAAACAAAATGTTTTGACTTTGTTTCAAAGCGTAATCTCATTTTAAAATTTCCATGTATTTAAAGATCTAAACTCATAACTACTTTCTAACTTTAGTCTATGGGGCTAGGAATTCAGACTCAGAAGTCTTACCCACTCAAATTTCACTTATTTTCTAACAACATAATTCCAAGACTCATTCCTCTAATTCAAATTATTTGCCACCTTGTCTGTTTCCCCCCTACAAATAAGCCATAGTTTCAAAACGATCCCTTTCCCTCTTGGGTAGCGGAAGCATTTCTAATCTCTTCCCCTGCCTTTCTATCAGTTCACTGGGAATCCTGCCCGCCCTTTCCCAGCCAGCCGACCTCTTCTCTCCTAGCGCTGAGCAGCCACCATCCCTGCTCCGCAACGGCCCGAGGGCGGCTCTGCAATGTTGCCCTACTCCCCAACTCCCTCCCCGCTGCCCTCTGCTTCCCCTAAGGGCGCGCCTCGCCTGCCAGCGCCGCTGTAACGAGAGCCAGCGCCGGAGC